GCTTTTAAATTACTTCTAAACGCAATTTTTAGGCTGCGTAAGAAGAAGAGAAGGATTCCAGATACCATATTAAAAGGATTTTTCGAAAGTAAGCGCATGAAAATTACCCCTTTCCTAACTGATAAATATGTGCATAGTCACATTCCTGACCCCTATCGACACCGCCTGCTTAATCAGCTAGTTAAGAGCAGCCAAGATCTATCTGCTTCGAAAGTCGTTCTTAGAGAAAACGCCAATGCTTACTGCGCCTGGGACAAAGCCTTCTAAGTCCTCCTTGTTCTTCCCCTTCCCATTTCGAACTTGGCCATCTTTAGTTGTTTTGCATTAGACGCAATTTTACGTGTTCATTTTACGCAATGGTTCATGCCATGATAACGTAGCTCAAAGCTGATTAATCTCATCTACAAGTTCCTTTTGATCTTGTTCTACCTTATGCCACAGATGCTCTGCCCCTTACTACTCTCCTCTGCTACATTTTGACATTCACATCCTCACTGCATTTTTAGACTCCAATGGAACGTATCAACACCCGATACTCTTCGGTCGCACCTAGACCCTATATGCAATTAATGCATCTATCGGTCAGGATGGTCAATTCGGAACCTGCCACTCCCTTCTGCGCAGCCAATACTGCGCATTAATAAGCGCAAAACCGATGTTCACTGAAATCTTCCTACAAATACACTTGGTCTAAGTGGATCACTTGTGCCATTAAATATGTCTGTCACAGAACCTCACTTCTCACAAAAAATAGGAAAGATGAAATTGACTTTGTAAATAGCATTACAGTACTATGATCTTCTTTTAAAATAAACCGAGTTGAAAAGTTGTTATTGATTCGCCATCTTTAATATTATGATGCAACACCAGTGTATAATTTCTTGGTCTTTTTACGTAGAAGTATTTTATAGGGAGAGGGAATGTCACCTCTTATTCTTCGACTCCGTTAAGCCTAGCAGGCTCCTTCTAGGTATTTTCGACTCCTACCTCCGATGCCCTCGTTAATGATCTCGTAATATGTATACGATCTCGTCAAACAAGAGAATGGGAGAGCACCAAGTTGTTGTCCTTTGGAGCCGACTATTTTGTAAGGTGACTACATAGTCAAAAACGGAATTCTGATGGGTATATTTTGAAAAGATAAGGGACCATTACATGAAAATAGTTTGATTAAAATCCCTATAGATGCAGCCTATCGAACTCATCGAGACAAAGTAGGCTAGGGCCGGATTCAATCTGGATGTAGCGTGTCCAGGTGAACAATATATTACGGAAGTATGCACCTTGGTATAGGCTGTGGCAGCCCCGGGTTTTTTTACTTGGCGATGACTGAAAGTGGTGCCGGATAGTGTCTGTTGGTCACCAATAGAATGGATTCTACATTCAAAGGACACTTTGCCTGGTCTTTTTGACTCCATATTCTTGCACAACTGAGGAAGTGGAAGGGCAGTGATACATTTTACTGGAATAATAGGGAATGGGTCACCGCCCGTTACATGATGTTAGCATCTTCTACAGGATAATTACATTTTTTCCATAAAGAGTAAATAAGTTAACTGAGAAAACCCTGAAACTGCCGACAACGATGATTAACCTGGCAAAAATGATGTTGATTTCAGCACAAATTTTTCTTCGCA